AGATGTGTCATACAAGTTGTATGGCCCAACCAGTGCCTCCATTTGCCCAGAGTCTTTTAAGGACCAAAGTGTGAGTACTATAATAAAAACAAACATTGTTAATCCTTATACATGTTAATAGTAATACCTTATACGTGTGAAAAAACCCAACTCCATTTCTGAAGAAAAATGAGAACACATGCAGACAAGACCAGGAACAGGTCATTTCACAAACATTTAGTTGATTCCTCTGCCCGGAGGCAGAGGATTGAGCACGGGTTACCCTAACCCTAACCCTAACCCTAACCCTGCCGCCTCCCAGGGGAGCGGTCCAACCGGGGCAGGTGGAGCTGCTGCCGTCTGCGGCCATATCTGACCTCCGTCCACTGATTAGCTATTTTTGGGATAATTTTTTCAATTTAAATTTTTATTATTAATTGAAATCAAATTGTTTTTAAATTAGCCTCATTTACAATCTAATTATTTTGAATGAGAATTAGTTTTTAATCCGGTATTAATAATTAAACTTATTTATAGGCTAATTATTTTAAGTGAAAGGGATTTTTTAATCTAATATTTTTAATGAGTTATTTATAATCAGATTTTAAAAAAGTAAATTACTCTACTATTTTCAATTTAAATTCATAATCAGATCTTTTTAAATTATTTTTTGATCTTATGTTTTTAATAAGAAATTGTCACAGTGGTGGCTCTCAGGGGGGGACTCAGATGCGGAGAGTGAAGTTCAAAAGGGTTTTAATGAACAAAAAACGCACTCAAAAGGAGTGGTTGACCAGAACAGGTTCAAAACAAGGAAGACAAATCTATGAACAAAGTATCAAAGCAAGATTAACATGGCTGTGAACAAAGTATCAAATCACGTAAAGAAGACTATGGCAAAGTATCAAATAAAGTAAACAAGACTACGGCAAAAGTACACTGTAAAAATACAGAAGTACAGAAAAAACTGGCAACTGTGGTTACCAGAATAATTCTGTACAAAAATACAGTACAGATGTAAACAACTTTACAGAACAACTTGTAAATTTTACTGGTATTCAATGTACAATAAACGATAACTGGATGTTAATTTTACTAGTATTCAATGTAAAATAAACGATAACTGGATCTTAATTTTACTAGTATTCAATGTAAAATAAAGGAAAATCTGCATGTAAATTTTGCATTAATAATCAGTATAAAAGCAGCATTCTCCTGTTAAATGAGCAGTACAGGACTGTATAATCTACAACTTTAAAATGTATTTTTTGTTAATTAAAATACAATTTTAGGATGTAAAATTTACAAGTTGTTCTGTAAAGTTGTTTACATCTGTACAGTATTTTTTACAGAATTATTCTGGTAACTACAGCTGGCAGTTTTTTTCTGTAAAAACAACTGGACTTTTTTTTTTTTTTACAGTAAAATGCAGGATTAAGACGCTTTTATAG